GAGAGAGAGAGAGAGAGAGAGAGAGAGAGAGAGAGAGAGAGAGAAGCAATCCAATAAAATGTAGTGAAGAGTTGTGAATTGGATCATCTTCTCATTCTCCAAAAACGATGAGTAAAGAATTAGTTTAGACGTTTTTATCAATCAAAATTCTGTTCCTATGGCTTGCCAGATAGCTCAGCGGATTCAAGTGTCTGCCTAGGCAGAGCACTGAGGCCCGGGTTTGATCCCCAGAGTGAGTGCTGTGCCAGCCCCGCCCCCAGGATGTGCTGAGCTGGCCACGGAGACCGGGCATGATGGCTCATGGCTGTGATCCCAGCTCTTGGGAGGCTGAAAATAGGAGGATCACTATGCGTCCAATCTGTGGAGTGAGACCCTGTAGACCCTATACTAAATACACTCAAAAATGAAAATCTGTTTCTTCAGTCACGTTACAATTTAAATTAGACAATGTTCAATGCCTTCAGGTTTTCTTCATTTAAAACCAACTCTGGCAAACTTACTTTTCTAGGGCCTGTCTTGGTATTATTTCCTAGTACCTGTTTGTAGCACGTAGTGATTTCTTTCATGATGCGGACTGGCACAGGTACACAGCACATCTCAGTTCTGTTGAAACCCCATCCTCTCCTGCCTTTCTCCCATTCAGTATGTCTCTGTCCCCTTTCCATTTACATAAACTCTATCTCCTGATATTCTATTGTCCTTTATTGAGCTTTTGCAATTCTTCCCTGTCAGTAACTTTTATTTACCTATTTCTATTACCAAAGTTACAAAATGTTTGTTTACCAAAATTGTTTAAGAAATAAATGATGAGTGTAAGAAAGGATAGATTAGAAAGAAATCAGAGTCAAATGGCTGAAACATAAAACCAGAATGGGGTCACAATATTCACATTATAATTTTCTAGTACAGAAAGCAGAAGGTCAAAATTACTACTTTAGAATATAAAGGAGAAAAGTAAAAATAGTCCTCGGGTCATTCTCTTTTTGAAATAATTGGCCTGATTGTTCTGCCGGTATTATCTATCAGAATGCAGATAATAGCATTAGCCCAATGCTGCCCTTTAAATTAATGATTTTTTCCATTGTACATGAATATTTTCCTTGCCAGGGCTGTTGAAGACTTCATTATTTGAAAAATAAAGTCCAATCAAGAAGCTAAAAATGAAATTTCCACAGTTCTGTTCCCTTAACTGATGAAGATTTCTAAATTAATATCAAAAGCACATCCCTTTATTTTCAAGGAACTCCTCAAGACATCTCCGACGGAATCAGTCCAACTTTGTTTCAGAAAGTAGACCTTTGATAGCCTATTCAAGGATTTTTACTTCAGAACAGAGTGGCAATAACAGACATATTAAATGAAAGATGAATTGTGATTGACAGGGCAGAAAATTCAGTTACTTGGAAAGTATATTTGAGGAACTAAAGTTGAAAATAGTGATATAATAGTGACTGAAATGGAAATATTGACATTTTACAGCCACACTTTATTGGACTATTTTATGTCTTGCTTTTCCTTAATATTGGGCCTCTGGCTTGAAATTTAAAAACACTCACTGTAAGCAACATTATCTGCTTATGCTATTTTAATCTGCAGTGCAATCATGGTTATTTGTATAGTAGCCATGGCTTAGCAAGACTACTTATAAATCAAATGTGCAATGGATGGATGGCTGGTGTTTTCTTTTCTTTTTCTTTTTTTTTTTTTTTTTTGCAGAACCGGAGATTGAACTCAGGCCCTTGCACTTGCCAGGGAAGTGCTTATTCCACTGAGCCATCTCTCTGGTGTTTTCTTTATGTGCTCAGATCTTGAACACTAGTACTACACGGTCCTCTCTCTGTCTTCATTGCCTTCTCCTGTTCCCCTCAGATGATGTCCAAGAAGGATGGACAATTATCGACAAATGGAGTCATCAGTCTTAAATACAGGGGTTTTATATCATGAACAGAAATATTTATAGATGACAATAAATGAATTCTAACAATTTTCTTGCTTTTCATTACCTTCGTATTAAAATAACCTGAAATTCCACATTAAAGCCAAGCTCACCGATGACTGAAATTGTTTTACCCTTTTTGATTGTTTGTTTGGTGTCTGTTGACAGAAAATGATGAACATCTAAATGGCTTGACAACCAGGTTAGAAAGTGCTGAGGCTGGAAACGCCGAGCTCCTGCTAGCTTTGAATGACACTTTCGGGAAGTTATCTGCCATTCCAAACGGTAAGCGCTCAGGACCCGGCACTTCTCTTTGTTCATCTAACTCTCTAAGGACTTTTTTAACTGTTACCATTTTTCTCACATTATACTTACATCCTTGTCAGGAAATTGGATACCAGGTTTCTTACGAATTGTTCTTTGTGAGAAGGTGAAAGTAAACCACATTTAACATTGTGATGCTACTTTTTCTTTGTTGCCTTGAGCTGTCAGCCAAGGGATATGCTACAAACAGGGAGAGAGAGACATCATACTATTCTATTGTCTTCCAAGTTTCAGCTCCAGAACTTTTTTTATTAACATACAGACACAACCATACAGGCACGATTCTGTGACATCATGATGCAGTATCACAAAGTCACAACTTATTCCAGTATCTACAGCAATAGATGACAACCACACAGCTCCTAGAAAATGTAATTCCTTAGCTATTCCAGCTTCCAAAAGCACTAAGGGTTGAGACACACTGACATTATCTTTCTACTAGAACTACTTGAAATTTTTGCATGGTATTATTTCTAAGAGGATGTATTCTTTTAGGGATATTGTTTTTATGTTTTAAAGTATAATATAATAACAAGGGTTAAAAGCATTTGTTGAGTGCTTAGTGTGCTTGTTAAATGTGTGCAGTTGTTATACCAACTCCATGAGGTGGATAGCATCATGACCCCCGCTTTCCAGGTACGAAAATGAGACAAAGGACACAGAAGAATATTGCTTAAAGGAGCATCTGTGCAATTTGACTGACAGGGGCTGTTAGTGGGGGAGGGAACGTTCCAGTTCCCCCCAGTCAGTGCAATCATTATATACTGCAAGCTCGTAATAATAGAAATTTAAATTTTAGAAAATGACTGCATAATTTTTTTTAGATTTTCATGTCACCTCTTTGGTAGTCTCCAACTTAGGAAAAAATTCCGTTTTTGGAGAACTTTTGTAAATCAGACTGATCTGTACATATGACTCATTTGCAAGTCAGACAATGTCTTAAGTACCTTAGGAACCAATGCATAATATAAAGCATAAGGCCAGGGAAATGGCTCAGTAGAATAAGCGCTTCCCTGGCAAGCGCAAGGGTCTGGGTTCAATCCCTGGTTCCACCAAAAAAAAAAAAAAAAGGATAAAATACCAACACACACAAATACCATAAATAAACTATTTTCACTTTTATGGTTACCTTAAAACAGTGGTACAGTACTGTGCAACTCTAAATAAATGATTTTTACATTTAGAGCTGTCTTAAAATGATACGGTAGACACATGAGCTGCTTCTATAATTCGTTTGTATCTGCAATGTTCATGATGAAAGCTCTGCTCATATCTGTGGAAGTTCACTGCTCAAATATTTGTAAATCAGGGACTTATTCTACCTAGAAAATCTGCTGAGAACAAATAAAATTATACTAGTATATAGACAGTCTAACACCCTTGAAAAAGTCTATCCTAAAACTGAAACACATTGTCTGAGTCCCCCAGTAAATGCAGATGAAGTCTTAAGCCCCGATGTGTGAAGCTATATAACTCATGCAAATAAATTTCACTCTTTAATATGTTCAGTGACAAATCACAATATGCCCTCACACAATGAACATTTAGCAAATCACTTTGCTATTTTAAGAGCTAATCAGGTATTCATGGCAAAGGTCCCTGAGAAAATTTAATTTAGCTAAAGAATTTGCTCCATTTGCTACAACTGAATGAAACAAAATTCAGCTGATGCCACCTACAAATGTGTCCCTTTGAGGTCAGCCAGCCTCAGCCTCACGTGAGGAGTATGTATTAAGCCACCAACTCTAAACCCATTGCTCTCTTTCGCATTCCCTCTTCCACTGACAGGCACAGCCGCTAAACTGCAAGCTGTTAAGGACAAAGCCAGACAAGCCAATGACACAGCCAAAGATGTACTGGCCCAGATTAAAGACCTCCACCAGGATCTTGACGGCCTGAAGAAGAATTACAATAAACTAGCAGACAGTGTGGCCGAAACGAATGCGGTAGTAAAAGACCCCTCCAAGAACAGTAAGCCCTCTTTGTCACTGTCATGCTGTCACTTATTCACACCATCAAAGTGTCCTAGTCTGGTAAATGGTTGAGCCGGAGGAGAGGGCGGTGGTGTAGAGTCCCTGGCTCCTGCATTCCTTAGGCACTGTGACTGAGTGCCCTGTCACTCGCCGGTCAGAACCTGGGTCTCCTAATCCAAGCCTTCTTCCTTTTCTCCTGCATTTTGTCCATCTGAGAAGAGATTAGGAATTCCCATTGCCTGCATTATATTTGGTATAAGGTTGCCAAATATTTTTGAATCCATTAGTGTAACTGAAAACACATTTGTACTCAGGAAACTATACTCAGAATTGGCTGAGTTTCATGGGATGTAGAGTTTAAGGAGCTCACCCATGAGCAGCCCATTAGAACAGGGTATGAAATGTCAATTTTAAAGCATTAACATTTGAAAATTTGGATGATTCATTATTTATAGTTCAGCTTTTTAACATTTTCAGGGAGTAAAATAAAGCATGTGTCTAGCTTATAAATTCTGTCTTCATAGCTCTTACATTCTATAGTAAATTATATTGATTTCATAAGAATTTATTGAGAAAATCGGTAAGAATTTAATGTGTAACTTAAATTATTAGTTTCATATAGTTGGTAAACATTGCTGTTTTAACCGATTCTTTTCCTGTCCATCAAATAATGACATTATTTTGGTGTATGGTTTCACGCAGGGAGATGCTTAGATTTTTGTTCTTTTCACTTGCGAAAGACTAGCCCTCTTCGCAAACTATTTCTATACAGTATCAAAGTATTCGTGCAGTACAGTGACGCAATCGCAGTCACTGGCATGAGGTGCCATGTAATCCGGGTGCAGTGTGCCTCGGGGGTGCCTGATTTCAGCACCGTCTCCTCGTTTGCACGCCGAGGACATAATGATACCCCGGACAACATCAGCCCCTCTGCGAGCATGGGGTGTGAGGACGCCCGGCCCCTGTGGGGGGCGGCGCAGAGCGCAGAGCTCAGATGCACGTCAGCGCTAGGAAGAGCGCCCAGTTCTCCCAGGAAGAACAGGAAGGATGTGTGAATGGCTTTTAGGTTAGTTTAATGTAAACCCAGATATATCTTCTGTATTCAAAAGATTCCATCAGAGGAACTTCTGAGAAATGTATCATAACGTTTCCAAACAAAATGGGAAGAAAACACATTTTCATGTCATACTGCTACCCATTTAGCTTTTTTATCTTTTGAAACATCATTTTGTTCTATGTTAGGTTGACTCGTAACCAGTAAAGGTCTTTTGATAATCTATGTCTTAACTTGTTTTACTTTATCCTTTTGCAGCAAAAATAATTATCTTTTAATAGTAATTAAATCTTCTATCTTATTAGAACATTTCGTTCGATATGAACAATAGCCTGATAAATGACATATTTTGTGTACTTTTATTTGGTAATGTTTGTTTAAAATGGAGCACATTTCTGATTTGTCTGTTGTTTAAAACAGTAACATTTTTGTGATAGTCATTATTTTGTAATATTTACAGAATATATTTCCTCATGAGTTTTCTAATTTCTTTTTGTTTTACTTCCTTATGAAATTGTCTGCAGAAATCAGTATGTACACGTTTGCTCGTATGCCGTTAAGTAGCCTGCACGCTGCATTCGCTGCCTAACCCAGAGCTCAGCTTCGCACAGCGCTGCGTTTGGTGCGACTGTAGACGCCACGCGAGGGCACTTTCTGCTGTCGTTAGATGCGTGGACCCAACTCCCCTGACCAGCTTAGCACTTGGATACATCTTATATAAATTACTTAAATAGTATTACTACGAGCTAGTTAAATGTCTGCAAAATACAATGGGCTTCACCAAAAGTGTCTTAAAATTTAATTAATTAGAAGACAGAAAATAGCAGAAAGGAGCAATTCAAGACATAACGCTGTAGTATTCGCAATTAAAAAGTCACATGATTGTCAGATTTAAGCAAAAAAAAAGAACAAGTAGGTCAAATTCTGAAGGAATTATAACAGCTGAAGGAAAAATTTATTTATTTTTTTACAGTATAAAAAATAGTAAAAATGAACTAGAAATGACACAGAATTTCACTAAACCAAATGATAGCAATTCAACACTGGTTGTTCTATTGCATATTGTAATCTTCATATCAGTTGTTCAGATTACCAGATATAAGCATGCAAAATTGGCCAAAAAATTAAAAAGAAGAAAAAAACTTTAAGTATTTACTTTTGTTTTCAGTAGACCAGTAAGAATCAGCAGTATGACTACCCAACCTATTGTGTGTATAAGGATGGAGAAATTTAGGAACATTCAAGTATACAGGACAATATTTTACAGGAATAAGGTTTAGATCCTAAAAGATACAGATAATCTATGAATTTACTAACTTACCAAAACCCAATTTCAGAAGTGATTTTTAAAATACAATCAGTAAATAATTAGGAAAGAAAATAAGTTTTCAAAAACTACTATAAAAGAAAGCATAAAACTTGAGGGCCGACCACATAGTTCAGCAGATTAAAACACCTGCAACCAGGCCTAGGGGCCAGAGGTTCAATCCCTGGGCCTGCCATGCTAGCCCTGCCCCCAGGGAGTGCTGAGATGACAATTGAGACTGGGTGTGATAGTGCAAGCCTGTAATCCCAGCTCTTGGGAGGCTGTAAACAGGCGGGTCACTATGAGTCCGATCTAGTAGTGAGCCCCTGAACACCCTGTAGACCCTTCCCTAAA